AGATTTTAGAATAATCACTTGGCTCAAGGTCTGTGTACATGTAATTGAAGCAAGTGGATGCTCCTCCTCTGCTTCCCTCTTGCCTTCCTTCTTCCACACCCCATACCTCTTTTGTGATCTTGTGTATTTTTAGATTGCAAGCCCCTTGGGGCAGGGATCTTTCAAACCTGTTCCTTGTAAAGCACAGTGTATGCAGATGGACTAACCGCCACGGTCATTTTCTCTCCCTGGATTTGACATATAGCACATGTGTCTGTTAATGTAAGTTCTGTTTCCCGGATCAGGACGCTATTACAGATGCCCACATGTCACTAGACAGCTGGCAATGTTAGTGCTGACCACACCAATCCTCTGTGTGGGAGAACAGGAGCACTGAATCAAGGGCGTCCTGTCTTCTCTGCCTAAGGGCTGCTAACAAGGCCAACCATATACTCAGTAAGAGTATCTGCTGAAATCTGCATGCACAGCCAGACCAGGATCTGTGGATTGGGACAAGCTATATTTGCAGATGCCTGACATTATACAGCAGTTTCTGGGATATTCTGCCTCAAACAGAACAGCTGCTGTAGAGGATAGCTGTCACGGGGCAGGCGGTGGCAAAGCTGGATGTTCTTGAAGCAGGGCTATTTGGGAGTCTTTTCTCCTCCACTGTTATTCTTTGACCTGCTCTGGTGGTTTGCACAGAAAAGCAAGAAGATAGAAATTAGGGTTTGATGTTGCTCTTGCTGTTTACAAAAGAAAAAAAACCTACACACGAAAGTACACTCTCAGTACATCAGTGGTTTTGCTATAACTATGCACACATCTGTCTCAATAATCACAGAATTGGATATGAGGAAAAGCTAAGCTTTTTAAAATTCTGCCTTTTCTATTACTTCCTTATTCCTTAATTTTTCATCTCTAATCTCAGTAAAACCTCTTAATTTGGAAGCCTGGATTTGATTGTACTCTTCTGACAACGCAAGGGTCTGTGTACCAGACTCAGTTCTGTATTGCATCGGGAGTGCCGAGCTCAGGCTTGTAGGGGGCTCTAGAAGGGGCCCCCCGGAAGGCCTCTGTCCCTCCCACTTTTAATTTAATGTTGAAGAAACTCTAGATGCTATACTCAACAGTACCAGTGGGTTGCTTTTACACTGTCTTAAGAATGCTACTGGGAACTTTGCCGGATGATGATATAGTGTGATCTCCTATAATAATGTACAAGAAGAAAGTTGGCTTTCCCTGCAGTGTTTCTAGGAACCACACTGCATCACCAGGTGGTGAGCAGTGGTGTAGGGAAGTCAGGGCTTGCAGGAACTTTTTGATTAGCCTGGACAATGACATCATCTGCCAACCCCCTTGTTTCCTCTGAGCTTAGCTGAAATCCTCTCCATAACTGGATGTGAATCTGGGTGGAGGGCAGGCTGGATGAATTATTCAGTGCCGGTATACAGTTATGAGACATGCCTGTCATAATACAAAATACTTTGGGGTGGTCTGGCCTTTTAGACCCACCCCAATAGCTTAATAAATAGCATGCTCCTAGCAGGTGGAAATTGCTAGGAAAATTAAGAAAATTATTTTCTTAATAGGGATGAACATTGCTGTTTCCCCGAAGAGGCATGGGGGTGGTGACTGCCACAATAAGCCCCGCGCTTCAAAATCTGCCACTACAGCCCTGGTATTTGATGGTCCTAGCACCATTCCTAACATAATGTAGATGCAAGCAGCAACTTCTGCTTCTCTTTCTTTGACAGTTGAAAAGAAATATGGAAAGACCATTCAGTCACTTCACAAAATTGCATGTATCCCCTGAACTCCAAGTCACCCACCCTACCAAGTCAACCTCTTCTCCTGACTTTTGGGTACTTTTTGCCCACCCGACAACCCAAGACTAAAAATTTCTCCAGAGTTTGGCATTCAGATCAGCCTTAGTTTCAAGAAATCACATTGCTCTTTATGTTGTATTTCACTTCTGTGTTAATGACACTGAAACAACATTAACTGCATTTGCAGGGATATGTATAATGATGTTTTAAATGTGCTACATAAGATAATTAGTTGTCTTGAGGTTAACTACTGAAGGAAAATGTTAATCAGATGGAAACCTATCATATGCATTAATTTTAATTTACTTTTTAAAAAGGGGACATTTTGACTAGGATTGCTTGCTTGATCTGAATGGTTTTATGTAGAACTTACACAGAACTAAAGAACCCAGAGCAGGTTGGGAAAGCAGGTTTATTATCTGTTAAAATACTTTGAGGATGCAATTATATCATTCATTCATTCATTCATTCATTCATTCAATATGCTGTCCAACTGGCTATAGCCTCTCTGGGTGACTTACATATAATCAGTGCCACAATGCAATACAATAAAATCAACAAATACAATAGAACCAATAATTACAATAAAATCAGTGATAACCAACCAGGTAATAAAATTTTTAATAATAATTAAAAGAATTAAATAAATAAGATAAATAAAATAAATATATTGAAGAGGGAATACAATAGAAAACAAATTTATGGCAACAATACAAATATAATTGTACACAATCCATAAAGTCATGAAAATATAAAATTATAGAATTATAAAATGGTAGCAGCAATTAACCTTAAAGCAATACATTAAAAGCAAAGGCCAAGAGATTCACCCTCCAAACTGCCTGTGAAACAAGAACATCTTCAGCTGGTGGCTAGAAGAATATAATGTTGGAACCAGCCTAACCTCGTGCAGGACAGCATTCCATAACTGGGGTGCAATACTAGAAAAGGCCCTCCTCCTTGCCCCCTCTTCTCTCACTTCACTCGGGGGAGGAACACAGAGGAGAGCCTCAGAGGTTGGACACAGTGACTGGAGACCTGCGGTCCCTCAGATAGCCTGGTCCAGGCTGTTTAGAGCTTTATATATTAATCTGAGTCCTTTGAATTAAGCCTGGATGGCGACCAGCAGGCAATGTTGCCTGTGCAGAACCAATGTATTGTGCGCACGAATGCCGGTCCTTGTCAGCAAGTGCACTGCCTGGTTTTGAACAAGTTGCAGTTTCCAGCCTGTCTTCAAAGGCAGTCCCTTGCAGTAGTCCAAGTGAGAGGTTACCAGCACATGGATAACTACAGCACTCCTTTCCCCAGTAAGGACACAGCTGATAAAGCTGATGAAAGCTGATGAAAGCACTCCTGGATACTGAGTCCATCTGAGCCACAAGTGACAACTCCAGATCCAGAGTACTCCAAGGCAGCAAACCTTGTCCTTTAGGGGGAGCACAACCCCATTCAGAACAGGTTGGAAATTCCTCAGTTGAACAGACGGACTCACTACCAACAGCACCTCCGTCTTCTCTGGAGTGAGCTTCAGCTTATTGGCCCACATCCAGTGGGATGCTGTTACATGGTGTCCTGCAACAGCAGGGGGCTGGACTTGATGGCCTTCATCGCCCCTTCCAATTCTACTATTCTATGATGCTATGATTCAGTCCATTACCGAGTTCAGACACTGGTTCAAAACAATCACTGCCTCACCTGACCTTGATGAAAAAAAAAAAAAAAGTAGAGCTGGGTGTCATCAGCTTACTAATGACACTTCAGCCCAAACCCCCTGATGGCCTCCCCCAGTGGTTTCATGCAAATGTTGAAGAGCACAGGGATAAAATAGAGCCCTGTTGGACTCCATAGCACAAAGGCCATGGCGCAGAGCAGAAGTTCCCCAGCACCATCACCTGGAGACAGTCTGCTCCCTGGCTCCTTTCTTGACATGCCTACCATGTGCATGTTCAGCCTATTCTTAAAAACCCTCACCGTTGGGACTTCAACCACCTCATTTCCATCACGAATTCTTTTGGGTTATTTTAAGAGTTAATAGGTCAATTCTGTACATCAAACATGGGTTTGGCTTATGTTAAGCTCAAATCCATAGTTTCAGATAGTCCATGGATATACCAAAGCCATTCTAATACATCGGCATATACATGCACCTGTCCTTCTTGAGAAAAAAAGACACCCCCAACATTCACAAAAGGAAGATAGTTACCAGACTTGTGGAAACACTAAAGGTTACTAAAATGCAAGCACATCTTTAGAGCTGAAAGCCAAAGGGATGTCTGTATGTGTGTGAAACTCCCAAACAGCGTAATGAAGACTGAGCAAGCTTGGTGGGCCATGGGATACTGCTTAACTTTGGCAAAGTGGGAGGGAACTAGGAAAGAGAATAGAATGAAGCATCCTGAAAGAAGGCATGGCTTGTTGGCAGAATGAACAGAACACTCCATACTGCAACATTTTGCTGTAGGTTCCAGTAGTATGTAGTTCTTTTTTAAGTATTCATAAAATGGTGTGGGCTGATAAGGGCAACAGTTGTATGGTGGATCAGTTAGGACTGGCCTCCACAGGGGCATCCCCAATATTTTCCCTAAATGTTCAGCTGCTATTAAAATATTAAAGTTAGGTTTCTAATTTCATGTGATCAGAATATTCCCCAACTGCTCACTTAAAAATAAACACCTTCTAGTGTTCTATCCAGTGAATGCAAAAGCACTGGGAAAACCAGTGAACCTCTATTTTTAAATATATAAAAGTTTGTATAAAAGTTCATTTTATTAATTTTCAATACAACAGAAAAACATTTTGGCTGAAATCCTATACCCATCTACTTGCAAATAAGCCTGACTGAACTCAATGTAGCTTTCTTCAGGGTAGAAATGTATAGAATTGTATTTTAACATAATAGTCATTTTATCTGCTCTGCAGTGATTTCCTGATAGTTTCCTCTGCTTGCATCTGGCTGAGATACCAGCAGAAGCATATAGGATATTTGTTAATTCTTGTTATTAAATATGGCAGATTAACATATTAGTGCCAATTCAGTCTCGAAAATTTCAGATCTAAGAGAATTGCCTTCTATCTGAATTAATATCCAATCTGGAGTGGTCAAGATTTCTTATATACTGGTATGAATGTACTAAAAATGTAGTCAGACCACTTGGATGCAGCAGTACAAAAGCAGAGACTGAAGATACTCACATCAGAGTTAAAGCGAAGTTGACAGACGTTACAAGAAATGACTTGTTTCTTCTTTGGGGGGAGTGACACTCCAAACGTGTGGTTTATGACTGCTTTTTGCACTGGATCCATCTGGGGAGCAAATAATAAAATACTCAAGTTATAAGAACTACACAGAGTGAAGAAAAAAAGCTGAAAATAAGACTGCCCTGAGACTTTCTGTAATAGGATGGGAAAGAAAATAATCTTTTTCTGGAAAATTTTGCCCTTTGCTTTGAAAATAAGGAAACAATTTTTGAACTCTAAAAATGTGATATTAAGAATGTCATCAAAAGTCAAACATTATAAAATAGCAAATTTTTTCCCCTCTTTTAATCACTAAAAGGATGACTATCTCTTATGGAAGGAGAGGATAATTGTCAGATTTATGCAAGAAGGAGAGGCTTCAGGAGGCCAAACCTCCACACTTTACACCAAATTGCTAAATACCAAACCTGAATCTCATAAGCAGCAATTTTGCCCCACACTCCATTTTATTTACACTCTTGAAAGAGAGAGTTAAATGTACCTTTTAGAGGGAAGGAAGAGGAGAAATGTAAATGTCTGATATGTATGAATATATATGGAATATATTTAGCATGTGTTGACAAATTGGTGAAATGAAAAATGAGACCTGTTGGACAAAAGATTGCACAAAGTTTACTGCCAATATCCATATTAAAGTAATCACTGTTATTAGGTCACCAAATAGTTGGCAAGATGCTTTCAGATTCTCTATAACTTTTCTTCCAGGGAGGTAAAAAGCATAGCGAAGCAAAAAAAGAAAAGCAAAAAGGAAAAGTGAGTAAGTGGAGGAATGAAGCAGCTGACGTTGAAATCATATAACCTGCATGTAATCATAATCTTAAAAGAGAATGAGGGAAGTGGCTACATACATTCAAATTAGTCTCTATCAGATGCTGTGATGGGTTGAGGTTGTTTCTAGATCTTTCCCTAGGGTCGCTGGGTAAAGAAATAAACCATCAATAGTTGTTACCCCAATGTTTAATATATAAAACAGCTGTTACATGGAAGACGCTCCATCTCTCTAGAGCAGTAGAGCAAAATTAAAACTTTTTGTAATAGCAAAGTTGGAAATTTATTTTTATGAGAATTTTTATTATTATTATTTTCACCATTAAAAATTCAGTAAACCCAAAAATCATTATATCTCAAACCAAAACAAGAGTTTGCACAAACAGGAAATGAAGAAAATAATTAATTCTAGTCATTTATCCTCTGCTCTTGCTATGGATAGGTACACTACCTCTGAATATGAAGGTTCTCTAAAGTTACTATGCCTAAGTGCCTTTGACAGGCAGGTACTCTCACATGTAATGGTAAGCTAAGAATCCGGAAAACCCTGGCTTGTTTGATATACATACATGGCCTGTTTGCTCTACACCACCACCACTGATTAAACAAACCAGAAATGGTACAGTATCCAAACGGGGGATACTGGCTTGTCTTTCCCAAAAAATCATAAACCAAGAACAAATTCTATTTCATGATTGCAGTTGGTGAAGGAAGCAACAAGCCAGGCCAGAGGACTCTGAATTGGTCCTTTGCCAGGATCAGTTCACAGCCTGCTGAGATTTAGACTAACAGCAACTTTTCCTTTCTGCGAGGGAATGAGACCAATTAATATAGTCTGTCTTCAGAGACTAATGGATCCAGAGGGTTTCCAGAGGGCTCTCAGGCATTCCTCAGCTGATATGGTTCATGTCTCTGTCAAATCCCTGGTTGATCTCTGGAATACAACTCTGACCCTGGTGGCTGACACGATTGCTCCTGATGGCCTCTCCGTAGTACAGCTCATACAGCGCCTTAGAATACCCCAGAGCCGAGAGTGATGAAGCAAAATAGGAGATAGTATGAGTGCAGAAGAAGAAAACTTACACTGGATGCCATCAAGCCCTGGTTATGTGCCTATAATCAGGTTTTTTTGGGCAGTGAGAGCAGCTAAGAAACAATAACACACTGCCTCCATTCAGCATTCTACCTGCCACCCAGAGGTCACCTGGGGCCTATAAAGACAGCTCAGACTCAGCTGAGGCCTGCTGTAATATATTTCCTAGGCATTTCTAGAATAACTTCTTTTGCAGCTGATGGGACTTAGATGCCAGTGCTACAGCAGTTGAATCATGTGAGGAACCCAGAGCACAGCAGTCAGTCTACATGAAATGTTATTGTATTTATCGATGTTATTCACTGCTCAGAGAGCTTCGGCTATTGGGCACTGCAGAAATTCAATGATAATGATAATGATAATAATTTGCATATTTCATCTGCATATTTCTCTGCTTTATTGTATGTTGTTTTTATTATTGTTATTTTATGTAATACTGTAATCCACTTAGAGAGTCTTCTGACTAGTATAATGGAAGATAAGTTGAATAAACAAACAAACAAACAAACAAACAAAGTTAAGAACCCAACACAGTCTATTTGGGGAGAAAATCCAAACTTGGAAATTAATTTTCAGTTTCCTTTATGTCTCTGTTACCCCTAAAATCCATTGTAGAGGGGCAGGAGGGAGCCCCAAACATCATGGGAGATACATTGAAAGGGGGGAACAGCTTGCTCTATCTTCCTGTGGGAGCTTCCTTCTGAATCTTTTCTGTGAATACAGGGAGCCCAAGTCTGCATCCAACAAAAGATCTTTTTCCTGAATTAAAAAAAAAATGACACAAGTTTTAATCTTTTTGTGGGGTTACGTTTTCCATCCTTGAGCCCAGATGAACAGCTTCATGGTTGTCTCGTACACACAACATTAACTGGAAAAGTCATCCTTGGTAAGTATACTTCTTTTAAATAATGTGCTTGGATTTTTTTCTTACTAATAGGAAAAACTGACTCATATTCTCCAAGGTCTTCTATTATAGCATCAACAAGTGATGCAATTCTACAGACTATTCAAACAATGACTTCTTATAAACTTACTCTGTACTAGTAAAGATGTAATAGTCAAAGCATTGGTACTGAGACATGCTAAAATGTAAATGTATTTGAATCTCAAGAAAACGCCTGAAAATATTTAAATCCATGGTCACTGAAGTGGTTCCTGGGTCATGAGTATGAAAAGCTGTTTCATACACAGAATCAAACTATTAGCCACTGAAAAAAACTTTTGAGATAACAGATCCATCCATCCCAAGACATACCAATTACAAGGAAGAATGGTGTTTTATAGCACAAAAAGAATCTCTAGTAATAGAAAGAAAGCATTATCACAGACTTTGTTCTAACTGCATCTCCTCAGTTCATTGTTCATAAGGATAGGAATAATTTTAATAAAACTATTCAGGGCACAATTCAACCAGGGTTTAAGAATGCTACTGCTTTCAATGAGATGGGTAAGTATGGGAACAATGTATGGAACTTAATTTTTCATAGTATTTTTATAGTGTTTCATTGTTATTCATATTTTAAGCCTTTCATTCTCTTAATTATGCAACAGTGTGCAATTATGCAACAGTGTGCAAGCTAATACAATGCCATACCATTTTAGCACAGTAATTTTGATAATACAGTACAGTATCGTTATCCCAACAGCACAGACAGAGGGTCTGCAGCTGAAGGAAAATATCTAGCCTAAAGCTTCCTTGACTTTATAGATGATATGAGAATTGAATCCCAAGGAAATGACTCTTTCTAATCCTCTATTTGTCCAAACCCCTGGCAGTCAAGATGGAGGCATTTGGCCCACCCAATCTTACTCCTTAGCATGTTTAGTTCTTGGCCCGTCTTCGTGGCCTACCTCTCAGTGGTCAGGTAGGGGGATAAAGAGGCTTGTGGATCCATGACCACCCCTTCCCCTTCCAGTGCTGCTCCTCCTTTCTTCTTCTGAGTTTCTGTCAAGGTCAGGAGAGAAACTGCTACAGAGCACGCCTCTCTGGGGAAAGTGAAGGTGAGCAGGACGTTTGCCCTTCACAACCGCCATCTTTGAGGACATAGTTGTGTCTTGCATGCCACTACAAAATGTTAAATAGCCATGTTTCCAAACCTGGCCATGAGAAAGTCTAAACTTATCCTGATCTGCTCTTGTTTCACTAAGCTGGGGCTAAGCCATTCCTTCACTCACAGAGGCCTCTAGTGTTCCAGAGCATGAGAGGAAGAAGACTATAACAATTTCACAAGGAGAATTTGTATCATGACTGCAAAGTTACCTTTTATTGGACTTTTAGTACCCATGTTGAAAATAGTAATTTGTTTGTAATTCATTCCCAGTTAAGATTTCATTGGACTCAGAGCAGAGCCTCTCCTGGGTAAAACTAAGGTGGAGTTAACTCTATTTGAGGGAAAAGGAAAGAGGGGAGTTCCGTTTCGAATAACTCCTAGCATGAGCAGAACTCGATCCCAAATTAGCCGGCTCATTAACCGAACAGATGCTTCCTGCCTTTACATTACGCTCTTTGTATCTCTAAGCCAGTCCTGGCTGGCCCACTTTAAGTTAAGAAAAGGCTGTAATTAGACATCCCTGCTAGGAAGAGAAAAGGAGAACATTTGGGGTGGGGAGAGACTGGCTACTCACACTGTGGCCCTCCTTTTTTAATAATAAGTTTTATTCAAAATTATAATCCTAAAAACAAAGAAAAACTAAAAACAACATCAATCATCAAAAACACCGGGCCTGCTGGGTCGGCCCCCACATTTTTTTTTCCATTTATGATAACTTAGAAACATATTTAAATCTATACGAAGTCTCATTTCTCTAGCCAATAATAAAAAGAGTCCCAAGTTTGATAGAAAACTGTGGCCCTCCTGATGCTTTGCCTGCAGCTTCAATGATCTTCACCACTGGCTATGCTGGTGAGGACTGATGAGTGTTCTAGGTCCAAACATCTGGAAGGTCACAAGACAGTCAACCCTACCCCAGGGCTCCAAGAGGCACTTGTCCCATGTGCCATAGCCTCAGATTTGCAACCTTCAGTGCCAGCTCTGCCAACCCTTTGCAGGAGGGATAAGAGCAGGCGGTGCTTACATAGCAAATATCGCTGTCTTCCATAAATTCCCATAATGGTGGCCCATAGAAGTTGGGTCATTCGGAAGTAGCAAAGGGTCTGCCTGAACTGTGCAGGGGCAGCCCGAGA